CCACACGCCCCAACTCGCCCCACCTCGCCCCGGCGCGGCTGGCGCCAGGGAGGGCAAAGCGCGGAGGAGGCAGGCCAGTCCGCGGCTAACCCTCCAGCAGCGCGCTGGACCCTCCGGACACTCCGCTCCAGGGCTGCAGTTCCAGGACTTCTCCAGGACGACGCGCGTCCCCCGCACTGGATTACACAGGAGGGCCGGGCGAGTGTGGATTAGTTCGAGCAGTGCTTATGAGGTGAGTTGGATTCGGACTGAATTCGGGGCTTACAGTAATTTGTTTCTAGAAGTATTTGTACCGGGAACATTGCTATTCGATTTTCGCCAGGCTCGGGCGTTTGTTACCTCCCTGGGATTTATGATCGTTTCTTACTTTGGCACTTTCACAAAATTGCGCAGCACCTAGATAACCCAAGTTTTACCGTAATTTGAATTGTAATATCTAGGTCAAGTCTTTGGCGAAATTCGGGCAATCCAGAGTCGAAACTGAATATAGGCCATTTCCGAGCTGCACGACTTCGGATGACGCCTTCGCCCAACCGGGAAATGCCACTACCTTGTCGTCAATTTGAACCCCTCCCGTAATTATCAAAATGAAACTTAATTAGTATAGAACGATTATGGCTTACTGCTGGGAATGCTGCCGTTTGTCGAGCCGAGTCATCATTACCCTTAAGTGCCTCGGCAAGGAACGAACAGAGTCGGCCATCGGCAGATGCGCCTTATTGCTTTGGGAGGGGCTCATCTGCCGGCTCTGCCTGGGCGACAACAGGTCTGCAATCTGGGCCGAGCCACGCCAGGCCGTGCCTCAGCTGCCTCGGCTGCAGCGGCAGTCTGTCTGTCTGTCTGTGTTCACGAAGAAGCGAGCGAAATGTGAAATGTCTGCTAAATAGGCACTAAGTGGTGAAAAAGAGAGAGAGGGGACGGGGAGGAGGGGGGAGTCCTTCCGTCAGTGCTATCTGTTCTTCACCCGCTCTTTTGCCAGTGTACGTCCTCAGGAAGAACTATATCGATAACGTCCGTCCAGAGGTGCAAATGATGGCGAAAATCAAGAGTTTTTCCTATAAAAATAATTTTTTTTTCCTGTCGCGAAAGCTTCTGAGCCCGACGGTCCCATCACCTCGCTTCGCCGTTTTCCAGGATGCTGCTCGTCACCGCCTGACCCCGCTGCATGACAGCTGCGATTTCCATCTTCCCCTCATCCATCTTGCTGGCCTTCTTCTTGTTGCAGACCTAGGCCGCCACAATAGGGGCGAGCTGCAGTGCGCCGTGTCATACTCTGGCACTTCGCTACCTGTGCGAGATGCTGAGCGCTCTCTTCCCCGGCCACAGCGCCGTGGCGGCGGCCCCCGCGGCCCCGCTGGCGGCGCCCGCCCCCGCCGCCCCCATGACACCGGTGGCGGTGGCGCCCCCGAGCCAGCAGGCCTGCGAGCCGTGCGGCCTGGGGCAGCAGGCGCAGGGGCAGCCCGCCCCCGAGCGGCCGGACGTCGCCTCCGTCTTGGTAAGTGCGATGAAATAAAAACTTGAGGCAGTGCGTGGGTGTTGCTGATGAAGTAATGTGTATACGTGTCGCGCCCCGTGCCTAACTGCGTCACTGTTGAGTCACGGCATGATACGGCCCCCTAGATAAGCCCCGACCGGGACTTACTACTTGTCACTCGTCCTCGCTGTCAGTTAGGTGATGAGGAGGTATTGGTTCGCGGAGCTGCTCCTCCGCGAGCTTATGGCGCCCGCCCAAGGAGCTCAGCCCGGCTCAACCCCAACCCCAACCCCCCCGACCCAACCGCGCGCCCGCGCACTTTCATCTGCGCGCCCGTACGGTTGACTGAGTTATGAGGACGATCCGTTAATTTTAATTGGCTGCTCTACACACGGCCTGCGAGGCTCTGCTGCCTCCCCCTTCCCCTTCCCTTGCCCCCTCCGTCCTCCTCCCCCTCCGCCTCCACCTCCTTCTCTCCCCGCCTTTCGCCGGCGCCACGCCGCGTCACGCCGCTCCTTGTGTGAGGTCAGTGTGTAGCACACACACGGTCGTGCGGCCGTCGGGGGCTCCTGCTGCTGCTTCTGCTGCTAATTAATAGACGAACTCGTCTCGGCCGAGGAGGAAATAAAATAAAAGCTAGTGCTGCCCTGCTGGCCGCCTCTGGGCAAACAGAAACAGGATAGGCTACATATTCACACACTCACAACTGTGTTTTATATATTCAGTGTTAAGCCGGCGATAGACGGACCACCCAATCAAATGGCAACGACGTGCTCGTATAAAACTATAGGATCGCATCAAAATGCTTTTACTGCAAATTACAATGTGCAGAAGTCGCTGCTCGCGGAGCTGTTCGCGCGGCGCATCCCCGGCGGTGCCGCCGCCACTCGGCCTACCGCACGGCGCGGCGCGTTGCATTTGCACGATTATTGGAGTGCGATAAGGAGGCTGAGGGCCCCGGCCTGGCCCGGCCCGGCCTCAGGACGGCGCGGTAGGCCCCGCGGCCCCGCGGCCCTCCCCGGCCCCGCCGGCCTGCTCTATCGCGCCGCCGCGCCGCGCCCGGCCGCGCCCAGCCCCGCCCCGCGAGTTGTCACCAGTCGCGCCGCGCCGACACACGTTCCGTTCCGTTCCGCCGCGCGTTAAAAAACCACCCGAGAAGCGTTCGACCATGTCCGCGTCCGAGAGTCAGGAGGACGTCATCAAGGCGCTCAAGGAGCAGCAACAGCAGCAGCACGACGACGACGGCGCCCACGTGAATGGCGTGGCCGTCAACGGCAATGGGCACGCCGATGGTCACCACAACGGCGACCTGGACGAGCTCGATGGCGGTAGTCACAGTAAGCCAAAGGAGGACCTCGCTCCAGGCGATGCCACCCCGAGCGAGCCGGAGGACGAGAAGGAAGAGCACAGGCCGGCCGACCACCAACACGAGGATGGCGTCAAGGAAGTGGAAGTGGCCGAACACAAGGAGGAGACCACACCTGCACCAGAACACCAGGACGAGGCTCCCGTGGCCGCTAAGCGCAACGTGGAGGAGAAGGAGGTTGTCGCCCCCGCGACCCACGAGGACGTCAAGGAGGAAGAGGTCCACAACGCGTCCCACAGTGACCTGAAGGAGGAGGAGACCCACTCCGCTTCTCACAGTGACGTGAAGGAGGAGGCCCACCAAGACCACAAAAAGGACGACGATCACCAAGTCCATGAGAAGGTCGAGGTGTGCTCTGTTGAGCACAAGGAGGAGAAGGAGGAAAAGGTGGAGATCCCCGTGGAGCAGAGGGAGAGGTTCGCCCATGTGGATGCGGATGAGACCGGCGACACACCCGTGAGGGAACTGCGGGAGAAGTATTTCAACAAGCGGCAGTCCAGCCTGGAGATGAAGAAGGAGGTGGAGTCGCAGTCCAGGCCCCTCATCAACAAGGTATGGCGGGGCGTTGTGTCGTGGGGAGTGGTGGGGAGACGCCGGTCAGCTGACCGGCTGTCACAGGCACCCCCACCCAGCCCCAGCCCCACGAAGCCGGCCGGCCGGTCTGCAGCCGACCGGCAGCACCGGCAGCCCCGGAGAACGGCACTAGAGCTCCATCTCGTCGAGCTGTAAACTAACGTGAAGATCGGGATAGAGGAAAAAAATGGAAGCCGTGTTGGCGGACCTCCGGGTCTGGTCCGGTCACCTGGTGCCCGATGCCCGGAGGGGGCAGGAGGATGGGCGGGGCGCGGCGGCTATGCCCCTCGTGATACAGACCCGCGGAGATAGACTGATAACGGGACCTGCTGCTCGCGAGAGGGAGGGGGAGGGGGTTGGTGGTGCTATGATTTTGTCTGCCGCGCCCTACCTTTATGATGCCGACCGGATCCCCCTGCCCCACCCCTCCCTTCCCCCTTTCCACATTAAACAAACTTTCCATCATTCGATCCGACGATGAAGTGGGCTGCAGCTGGAGGACAGAATGTCCGTGGGAAAGCAGTGTTAACCCAGAAAAATGAAGCAGAACTGTCGTTTGTCTGGTTTCTCACTGGGTGGGCGCAAGGCACACCCAGCTTAGTGGCAGAGACCAATGACATGTATGGCACAAGAGCGTCGGGTTTATGGGGGCTCTTGCACAAACCGATCGACATTCCCTGCTCAAAAGCAAGCCTTTCATTGCTTTCATTTTTTGAGGGTAAAGGTAGAAAAGTACTGCAGTGGCAGCCAGAAGGAAGGGGGTGGGATTTGCGAGGGATGCTGGGACGGGGAAGGGTGCGGCGCAGCAATGCAGCCCTGGGGCCCTGGGCTATCGCAGTGTCAGGGTCGGGGAATTAAGGTCTGTTTGCGCGGAGCGAAATACCCGCTAAAGCGCCTTCCCGCTTATCTTTGAGTGTCCTGTTCCTCCTTGGCGGGTATCGGCGCCCACACCCCGAGTGGTGTTGGGTGTTTATTGAAGGTCCACGCAATTTTTTTTTGTTTCACGCTATCGATTTGCAACATATGCGATGCGTCAGAGTGAGATTCCTTCGCGCCCCACGGTTTAACCTTTGGCCGAAAATCGCTGCATCTGACACAATCGTCGGCAAAAGCGTAGAGGACTACGCGAAAGCCTGAATATTTCTCTCTGGGTCTGCCTCTGTTCTGGAGTGACAAGTGCTGGACCGACGATAAGCCCTTGCAGCTGAATGTGTTCGAACGAGCAGCGAGAGTTGAGTGGTGGTGGTTGGTGTTGATGCTTCCGGTCTAGTCATGCGGCCGATAAACAGAAACTCCAAGGGAAGTAGTGTTATTTCGGGAGAAAGTGCTGCTTTAGAGGAAGCGTGTCACTCATGATTCACACGACATGCCGCTTTACGAGCTGGACGCGCCGCGCGGAATCCCCTGCTGCGAATCTCGCAGTGTTTGTGCCGTGCCCGCGTCCTACAGCGGTGCTCGCGACGCGACGCGTCGGTGCCACTGCAGGCAGGGCCCGCTCCGCATCCTCGGCATCAGGCACACATGCTGTGTCACCAACGCCCCCCCTCCCCACAAAAAAAAAGTTTATGAGAAAACAATCGCGTAACTTTGTCAGCGGAGACACACATCCTGTCGAGTCGATTGCGGGGCGCGATAGAGCGACACCGATGAAGGATGAGCCGGATTGTAGGGATAATGCGAGGATAAAGGTACCGCCGGGGTGCTGGTATCGCGCGGATTGTGGTATGCGGGCGAGGTCGGCGTGGTCCCGTATCCCCGGCCATCGGTATCCACTCGAACAGAGGAAGTCATCGCCCTCTTTCATATACCCACCATCCTCGCCACCACGGGGAATTGTGTGTTTGTGAGAGAGTGTGTCTGTGTGGACGCGCGCATGTGTGCCGATTAGAGTGCCATGATAACGTACTGTTTGACGACCGATTGGCGTCGAAAAGGGGTTGAGTAAGTGTGACGACGACCCCCCGCCCCCACCCCACCCCACC